TATATCTAATGTTCCTTTATCAGTCGTGAGGCAGATTATAACTAATGAGTGAGACAGTGTACGTAGAAATGGTGCTCTCATAATCTTAGTGCATAATGACTGAATACGTTATTCAGCTTGACTATAATGAGGGTCATCACGACGCCAATGGCTCTTCTGCGAGTATGGTGTAACAGCCCCATCAACTGTCAGTGGCATCGGTAATATATTACGTTTATCGATGTTCTACCGCAATACCGTTCAGATGTTATAGTAAAGTTTTTTCCAGTTTAGAGCTGGGTTGATGTGTACTGGAGTAATGCAAGTCAGAGACCTAAATTGTCCGCCTCTTTAATGTATTAATAAATATTCAATAGACGTCCTAACAGTAACAGAAGTACCTACCTATGTTGTATAGCACAGGGGCTCAATCATTCAGGCCTCAACCGATATTCTCTTATCATCTCATGTTACATTTAACGTGGTACAAAGTTACCTTAAAACAATATTTTATCAGGACTAGAATATAATAAAACAAAAAAATGACCCATAATACTAATATTACAATAATATTAACAAAGCAATACACTAACATATTAACGAACTCAAAAGGTCAATTACTTGTAAATATCTGCTAGACTTCTTCATATTACGTACTTATTTGATTTATAATCGGATTTGAACATAGATTGTTAAATTAACTTAAAATAATTTAATTCAATGTAAAATCTTGATTTTTAAAATAAGAAGTCATAAGTTCACGGGTGATACACCTATTTTAATAACATTTTTCTTTGAGGTCTTCTACTTCTTGGAACTTTTGTGTGTCGTTAGTAAGGTACCTATAAATAATATACAGTTACATACACACAGTAACACTAATTAAAGTGCACAATTGATTTCTAAACTGAGATTATCCGTGTGGTGACGGATTAAGAATACGGAGTGTTACCACCCTTATTCATCCAACAAACTACGCAGGACAACAGCAACGCAAAGAGAAGGAAAACTGGACACAAACTCTATTTCAAACTTTCTAACCAGCGTGGTATAGTAGGCCAAAACCTACTTTCCAAGGAAAAGCCTCTGTCAAGCGGTCGACTATTAAAAGATTGTTGGTGTTGATGATGATAAATTGATTTCTGACCTAATATAATACTTCGAATAAAGCAATAATTCTTCATTTTACTTCATAAATCTTAATTATAGAACCATACACCAAAACGAATACTTCGGTATCATGTATCATAAGACGATAAATCTTAAATATCTTGCGATCGCTTCATTGAGAATGAGTGCCAGAGTCGAAAATGACAATAAGTAGGCTTACTGATTTATTTTGAGGGTAGAAATCGAAAGATTAAGCCCACAGTACAAGTCCAGGGTTCTATATCAGCCTTCACGTCAGAATATTTTATTGTAAGCCTCTGCTCATATTTCTTCGTGACAGTTTTAGGACGTGTACACACGTGGTAATTATTCCAAATATAGCACATTTACTACAGGTCATATTTATAGAATATTTGTGAAAAGTGACTATGAACACATACTTAAATCCATATTCACTATTAATAAAAAAAAAAATATTTAAGGCCCTAAACTACGCAAAGATAACAGCACTGCAAACAGAAGGAAAACTTGAAACAATCTCTATACCAACCCGTCTGGCCAAAGCGGTATAGTAGGCCTACACCTACTTTCTAAAGAGAGGCCTAAGTCAAGCAGTAAAATATTAAAGGCAGTTGATGATGTTTTTTTTATCAATATTAAATTAATTAATTCGTTAAATCATGAGTCAGTTCTAGTAATTATTTGGAAATCTAAAAAAGTATAAATCAAATACAAACTGTTCCTGCTTTTTACTGACAATATTACGCAACATTTCTTTCGGAATATGCAAACCCATTTTAAAAGTACCTATATTTCTAGTTTAATCGGTCGATCTTAATAGGGACCAAACAGGATTAACAATATGCGAGTTAAACAAAGAAAAGTTCAAGAAGTGGTAGGCGCAGGTAGCCATTTAATATAAGGTGAGTATTAAAATCGGTAAGATCCTAACAAAAGAAGGCACTAAAAAGTTCATGAGAACTTTTTAGTGCCTTCTTTTGTTAGGATGAGACTATTGTCTCTTTATTAAAGCGGGTTCAAATATATACATTTCTCATATTCAAACCAGCCTCTGCCGTACGTTACTTTAAACTCTCAGAATTTAGCCATAAACACAAAACTCACGAACGCAATGCAAATTGTTTTATGTTAATTTAAAGTAATGCATGCTTTGCTCGTAAAACAACCATTACAACAACTAATCCTATCAATATAAGGCACTTTTACCTTCATGGGCACATAAGAATAATGGAGAAGGAACTCAGATATTTTCCCATTTCTCTGTCCAAGATTGCTTCAAAGAATAGCATTGCCAATTATGTAAAATACACATTGTAGAACGAGTTCTTATAAAACATTCGAGTTCTTTTGAGTTCTTTAAGTGGTCATATTATGTGAGTATTGACGTTATTATAATCATGTGACTGCGATCAGCCCGCCATTACATATTTATTTTTAATTAGTTCAGGATTAGTTTAATTTACGTGTTTGCCAAATTTGTTAATCGACGAAATGGAAATTGAAAGTACCAGAATGATTTATATTATTACTGATAAATGCTGAACCGTTTTGTGAAGATTGCTAAATATTTTATGACCAATAATATTTAGTCATATGTACTCACCTTTACGTCTAGATATCACGTCGAATTTAACCTTTATCACTAGAGTTAAATCTTTTACAAAACATTTGACGTAAGGTACTCGTATATCCTGAAGGGTACGTGATCTGCCACTTTGTTTATGCATATCGGGGTAATATTATATTTATTTTTGTGATATAGATATGTGTTATGATTGATGTGAAAGAAGTAAAGTGTTAATAACCACATAACTCTTCGTGATTGTTCAGATATATTGCCTGTTGTTTGTATGATTACGAAGAAAGAGGAAGCTACCAATCGGACAGTATCTGAAATGATGTCTTATACTCGTAATAAATACCCTTTTTTTTTGTGCGGAACTCCCCTCAGATACCACCCACCAGTAGGTGATTATGTGGGACTCGAACCGACCAAAAACCGCACGCCGTCTCCAGGTACCAGTAGCCGGGAAACCAGGTATACCCTAGAAAGGAAAGCCCTGGTACCCCGACGTACCTCGGACCATCAACGGCTTATAGATGACCCATCCTGAGTGGGAATCCGGATGTTCCCTGACCCTCATTCGGATGTTCCCGAATGAACATCTTAATAAATACCCTCACAAGTTTTGAACAATTTTCGAAAAGAGAAAAATATCAAATACGCTCATAAAACTCGTGCTTTATACGCATCGTAAACAATTGCATACTTCTTTAAATTTACAGCTTACGTTTTTAACTTCAAAGCTTAGGAGCATAAGTTAAGATTAAAGCAATTTGGTTTAAAAATATAATAATTAAAACCAAGGCAGGTTCTAATAGATGTTATTTATTTATTAATACACACATAATACACTTTTGTACGAACGCGGACTTAATGCCCTTATCTACCAGTCTATTTCTCAGTGTTGTAGAAATTTTGTAAAGTACACGTGTAATAAATATAAATATATATTTATAACTATTTAAGCAGTTCGCTACATACATAAACTTATACATATACACTTATATATATTTGACTGACTTTTGAATGCACGGCTGGCGTAGTGGTTAAAGCGGTCACTACGCCACGTCCTACTGCGCTGAGTGCTGTGGGTTCGATTCTTACATGGGACAACACTTTCCACAAATTATTGTAATAAATTGGTGTAATCCACAAATTGTTGTTCTGATTCTGGGTGTTCTTTTAAACCCGGTTTCCCGGCGAGAGATTAAAATTAAATACAACAATATTTATGTTTTCCATGTACTTATAATCTAAGATAGAGTCAAAAGCCCTTTGCTAATCAATAAATGTAATGTACAACAATCTGCACTCCTTTTGTATTTTATGATTAGGAGCTCTAACAGTGATTATTTGAAGAAAAGCCTCTTTGGTCTACAGAAAGAGCATTACAGAACTTAAACTGCTTGTAACTATACAGTATCTATAATCTCAGACTTCATTTATTTGGCAGAAACGATATAATTATAATATTAACCTTAAACAGTATGCACACAACACACGTGGCAGTCTGACTGACCTCAAACTAGGCAGAGCCTGTACTATGGTAACCAGATTGCTAATAAACATAGGTACTTATAAATTTCTAAATACATACATATTACAGATAAATTACACCCAGAAACAGAACAAATGATCGTACTTATTTTTCCTGGGTGGGCATCGAACTCACATCCTCTGGCTTAGCAGTCAGGGTCGCCACTTGACCAACAGGCATGTCAAATATGATCTCAACACAGCAATTTATCTTCTATTACTACTAACTCGATATTTGGGTCAGAATTCATTAAGTTATGTTTTGCTTTATACCATTTTCTAATATTACTTACTACTGTCATAATGATATTAATGACAAAAGAATTGAAAATTTAGAATAATTACGCAAGTAGTGGAACACAGGGCCTACATTTGAAACCTTAAAATATTTGAATGGTTATCTGATTGTTACAAAAATGTGTAATAACTGAAAAAGTAAACAGTCTCACATTCGCATTTGTAAAAATAGTCACGATAATAGAGTATTGTAATACATGTGCTGCATGTATGTCCTAGTTTACTTGTATACTTACTGTTAGTCAAACCAGACTAAAATAAACTTGATCACGAAACATCACTAGTCAAGGTATACTTACATAAACATGTCTTAGCATTCTATTTTCTATTATTAATATAGAATTAAAAACAACGAATCACATTAATTTTATTTTATAAGATTCAGACAGTTTTTGGCAGCATACAATGCTTCTAAAATAGACGGACCAACAAGGTATGCATGTTGCATTGATACCTTGAAAGTAAATAATATCAATTCATACAGTCTACAATGTTATTGCAAGGAAAAAGGCAAATCGTTCTCTGCAAATGCATATTGTGTGCTAGATATTGGTTCAGGACAAAAATTACTACGATCTAAGGTTGTTGGTTGGGGATCATACTTAATTCTCTTAATTGCCGATAAAATCTCAAATTTTAAGTCAAATTTCTGTTTAGCCGTCATCGTCTTTATTTCTGGCAGTAAAGACAATAGAAAGCTCTTGTCTGGATCTTCTTCTACGCTTTCTTTCGTAGGAACGTTATTTGACGAAGAACTTTGGAATGCTGCTATTAGTTCATCGCAAGTTTCAGTAGCAGTGGTCGTTTGCGATGGAGGCAGGAAAAACGAATCTACGTCGATCATTCCAATGTCATTTAAACAACTTAGATCATTTGACTTATCCATGTCAAGTTTAGCCTCTCTCGCTCGATTGTAGCTTACGCCTTCCAAGAAATTTAACAATTCAAAGTATTGTGGTACTTTAGGCCTTACTGCAGAACTGGAATCGAAATGGGTGTTTTTCCTCTTTTCCTTTAAGTAATATTCTTTCATATGCTTCCACCTGCTTTGTATATCATTTACTGAAAGAAGAAATTCGTCGATACAATTTTGAGTTTTATATTGATATATTAGCGTAACACTTTATAATAGAAAAAAAACATGCATAACGTTACAGTGAATGCTTCCTTAATAGTTAATAAGTTAACAACAATCAAATGACTCATATGATTTTTGCCGCCAAAATGTCAGATATTTAACTTAAAATTATAACCTCAAAAGAAAATATAAGTAACTAACAAACACTTGATGAATAGTCGAGCTTAATTCTTTATTTGCATTCAATTTTCAAATTAAAATTACAGTTAAATACTTATATACTTAAATAATAGAATATAGGCAGGTAAATAAGAATGATTAGTAATGTAGACAAACGTGATGTAGACAATCTTTGGAAAACAATATCTTTTATTAATTATTGTTTTTTCTGACTTCCGCACTGAATATGAAACATATAACTAACAGTTCAAGAGATTTGACATTATACATTGCTAGTAGATAAATGTGTGTGGAATACCTGCAATAATATTTACTAGCTTAATCTTATTAGATACACAAACTCACCAATTTCCTTTTTATTTGTGACTGTGTATGTATGCCAGTCTATTATGAGCTCTTCGGCTATTTGATCCCAAGCTACTCTTCTCACGGGGCGATTGATGTAATTGCTGTCTTTACAATCCCACAAGCAGGGACGTGCTTGCACCTCACGAATTAATTTTCGTGGATCGAACATCTGTTGCTATTTATTGATCAGGTTTAATTCTATATTCAAAAATGTACAAATAATATGACAAAGGCTTGGAAGGAGCTAAGTGACAAGTACATAATATCTAAAATGTCTACCTCCCTTATGCTTTGTCCCTTATACGCATGCGCGCTTTTCCTCGCTACGCGCAGAACGTTCTGACTGTCACTTCAAATGCGTTTTGTTTTCATGATACTGTTTTATTCTAAACATTTCTTACGAACTAAAGAAAAATATAAATCACTTGTATTTTTACTTAAATATCGAAAATTCATTTCTAAATCTTGTCGGTTAAACAAAAGTTGTAAGTCGCTTGTAAACATTTTTAAGAATATATGTTGTGACTTCAAAATAAAGAACATATTAAAGTTATAAACATACCTAAATATATTAAAGTATAGATACTACATTTAGAATACTACGGAACTAGACCTGTGAAAGTTGGTAAAAGTCCTTTGTCCAGTAGGAATAGAGCTGATGGACTTCATCCATTTGGGCTGATCTTCTTAAATTATAGATAAGAACCATCTCGATCTCGTCAGCTATAAAGATAAACTATATCAAAATTGGTCTATAAAGCTACTAGGCTACAGACACTGAAACAGATAGACACACAGGCATAATCTTCAATCTTATAATACCACTAATTCTTCATGGGAACCCCCATGAAGAATTATTATTAATTAATTAGTGTAATTTTGTACGCTTTAAAAACTCAAAAGGTTCTGTACAGTAGTATATTGTATATACGAATAATAACTTAACCGAAAAGATATGGTGAAAGAATGGATCGATCATAAAAACCACGTGTTTGAGGTACAGAGTAATCTCTGTAGCACAAACATGACTCTTGACTCTTGTTGTACAAGATTCACAGAACCCTATACATTTGAACTCTTGCAGACGCAGAAAAATACCATTCTGAAAAACTTATTTCAAAAGTAGTGCTGAAAATGACTGATTAAAAAAGAAAACAAAGACAAAAAATGGGTTGACAGCCAGGAACAAATTTAAAAAAAAAAAACCAAAGAAAAAAGTTTAAATAAAACCATTTTTTCTTTGGCTTTCTCGTAAATAAATTAAAATTCATTACCTATATACCTATTAATGAAAGACACTTTCGGTGCCCATCGATTTATTCAGTTCTGAATACGACACAGTAAGGTTTATATGGGACATCGTTCCAATCAGGAATATTAAATCTTTGATACTTGTACGTTGTTAAAGCATAGAAAAAGTCCAGTTTAAATAAAATAAGTTTAACAAAACCTGCACGTATGATGTTAGCCTATCGTATCCTATATCCTATCCATATCCTATCGTATGATGTTAACCTATCGTGGTACTTAAAGCTATTTGATGACAATTAACAAAAAAAAACAAAACAAGCAAATAAAACTTAACGAATAAAGACGAAACAAAGATAAACTAGTCAATATTCTTACCCTAATTGGCATCATTATTACTGACTCAGTTTGTGATATATCTAGTTTGTTAAATAGACCACATTTTTTACTGTTTACTGTTAATAAATATGATTTCTAGTTTAAAAATACTAATCATTGGAATTACATGGCCGCAGCCGTATTCATACCCTTGCATTAAAGTCCTTTTTTACTGATGTTTTCAATTATTCAATAGCTAGCTTCAACAGAGTAAGAAAAACTCGCTCGGATATTAATCGATTCTAAACTGGTAAGGTTAGCTACCTACAGTGCAATATGGTCACAAGCCAATGAAGTATGATAATGCTATACAACCAAGTAATTCTTGGAAATGTAATGGATGTAGCCTTAGAATAAAAACTGAACAGGTGCTGTTTTTAGCCATTTCAAAGAAGAAGAAGCAAGTCCTTGGAATTCAATTTTCGACGACGACATTTAACGGATATAGTTCTGTGTATTTACTGTGTATCTACTTTATTCAGTGGCATATTATTTTAAGTGATGTTTAGCGATATTTCTTTTCTCTATTGTCCGATAGAGAACTTTAAAAATTTAGTCAATTTAAAAGCCCGTAAAATTATAATTAAATAATGCAATACGTCTTAAAAATGAAAAAAATCACATTGAATAAATTTAATCATATTTTTAAGTCTATATTTATTTTTATTTGTTAGTAAATAAAATGTATTTCCTGTTAATTATCAGCTGCATACTAACAGTATTGCTTAAGATAGAGGAGTTGCCAAATTATTTTTTGACAAGCCTTGCTCTCTGCGTACCCCTACAATTCATTTGAAGAAACAACTATATCCACATACCTCTACATAATAATACTACATCTGGTGTATGCTAGAAACGCAGTTCTAAACATGACACAAACGATGTAGTGCACAAATGCCTCGTGTGAAAGCCTTTTTTAATTGCAGACATGATTGCTTCTTAGTTCCTGTAAAATATAGGTCTTCGAAAATTGTAACACTGGCTCTCAAGGCAATTCTCAGAACCTTCATTAGAATACCGTGTATAACTAAGTATTAACTTGAGTTTAGAGTAATTGCTTTCTCTTGTTATAGTTATTCAAAGCAAAATAACTCAAATTAAACCATTATTTTAAAAGCTTCGTAAAATATAGACCTTTTTTTTAAATAAACCTCGTCTTACAGTTTGTAAGCTATATGTAATTTAATGCACAATATCTTTCTTTTAGATCGAGTTCTTTTCCTGTATTATTTTAAAAGTCAAAATTATAAGAACATGTTTATATTTAGTATAATTAAAAGTTAAACATTAACAAATGTAACCATGTTCTATAATTCAACTGCAGTGGTTTAAGTGGTCACCTCGCCGCTTCCTACTGCGCTGAGTGTTGTGGGTTCGATTCCCACATAGGATAACACTTTGTGTGATCCACAAATTGTTATCCTGAGTCTGGGTGTCCTGTGTGTCCGTTTCATGTATGCCTGTTAGGTCCCCGTGATTCAGGAAATATGAACAAAAATATTGCCTATTACTTTTTGACTATAGATTATACTATTATATTTTAGTCTTAAGAATTAAAAGTTTTAACTCATCATTTTCATTGCAAGCAACGGGTTTGTAAAATTTCTTCATGATCGATTGAGAACTTGAAGCATGAAAGCGGTAAAAACTAACTCACATCCATTTATTAGAATTTAGAATATTAATTGGGATAAAACGTTAAAATTATTAATCTTCCTAGACTCAAAAGAATAATAACTTTCAAACTAATTTTCATCCGAGATCATGTCATATAAATATAAATAATATTAGGTGTCAGTATATAGTCTAGTTCATTAGCCCCACCCCTTTTTACATTTATCAAGTCATGTCAACAATGAGAATTTATGACGTGCAATTATTGCAGGAGCCGAGGCAAAAACGAATGTGATTGACGTTCTAGTGTCTGTGTGGTAGACCCAATGTACAGAAATCTGGTCCCTTATTACATTAACATTAGGCTAACAAATAAACGAAAAAATCTGTTCGAGAAAACACAAGTCATATAGGACGTTCCTATGATGTAGTTTTGTTTTTTGGTTTGATTATTACATTTTTATATCTACTTTATACATTATATATCTATTTTATACATTATATCTACATGGTTAGCAGGAATACACATCGGTCGTTATAGTTCGTATATTATCTGTTTTATTAGTTTTAATTATAACTTAAAACAATCGAAAAATATGACTTAGTATCATGTATATTGTGCTTGACCGGTATTATTTTAAATTGAATATTAGTGACATTGTTAAATTGTTGAAGTTATTAGGTTTTACTATTTAAGTTAGAATTTCATCGTCTTATTAAATTGCCCACGATAGCCACTACTTCACATCAAAAATACATAATTTCTAAGTATTGCCCTGCCATACCGTGTGTGTTGCATAGTAAAAAGAAAGCTAGAAAATATATAGCTTGTGAACGTTTGCTAAAGAAAAACACAAAACTGAATTCCAGGAGCAGAAAAAAATACACGAGTAACAATGCTTGCTGGCCAATCAATAAATGATTATTTCGTGCATGTTGAAACAAAAACAATACATATCAGAATGCGATGAGGTTCATCGATAAATTTAATTCTGCCCTTCAAGGATCAATCACGAATGTTCGGCTTTGTGTGAGCCGCCCTGGGTGGTACACTAACTAAAATATTTATTCAACCATCGCTTTACAATGGCAACGTATTTCAATGACGGACATCGGCGGCAACGAGCAGACTCCTTGCCCGAAGCGCTATGGGCACGCCCCCGCACTCTTCTTTAAGAAGATGCTCGATATTTCAATAACTTTATTTTTATCAATGTATACTTCTTTTTATTTAGATATAAAGATTTTTCTTAAATAAGCATTCCAATTCAAAAGCAATTCCTTCCTAGATCATTTATCCATTTTAATTTAAAATTTCTATAGTTATTTTAAGGAGTCAAAGAAAGAGGAAGTTAGAGAAGGTAGAATGACAAATGAATAAAATAGCTATTACACTTAATAAACTAGTAACTAAATACTGTTTAAATTAAGTTTTAAGGAATAAGAAAAGCCATCCAATTCATTTTTATGAATGTTACTGGTGTGACATATACATATATTAACTTAACAGAAAATAAACGAGACTGCAGACGATGCTAATAAGTACCATAGCATCAATTTTTAAAGTTGTCGTCGGCGGCGATTAACTTTACACATTTTGAAACGGATTGGCGCCCTCGGCCAGCAACCACCCAGGATGTAAAAGGGTTTCACGTATTATTATTACATACGTACGATCAACGTTGAAGTGCAGACAGGGCCCTTAATGGTGCTGTATGTTTGTATTTTTAAAACCTTTTATATACATTATGGAACTCAATAAATGATTGAGTATTGAGTGAACAAGAATTAGGTAGTAGAGTAAAATAATACCGCTAGTACCGATTCTCTACTTTTCATTTAATTAGGATAATAATTTATATATATAATTTTTAATGGGTACCTGTGCAAAGGCTTGCATTATAAAACTTAAATATTTATCAGAAACAT